CGCATACAGCCTACGACGGTGTTTGTGGAGTTGTGCCCAAGTCGGGCTGGCATTCTCTTCGCGCCACAGCAGCAGCCCGCCCCACCACCCACCGCCGACACCATCCAGCAGCAGCAGTCACCTGCTGACGGTGCCAGGGAGCAGACGGAGTCACAACAGACCACCAACGCGCCTGCCTCTTCGCCCATTGTGGCCGCCACGGTGGTGCAGGCGGAGAAGGCGCCCTCTACCATGAGCCAGATAAGTGAGCTGCTGCGACGACGAAAGGAAGGCGCCAACATCCTGCACCTGATCATCTCGATGGGTATAGCCATCTGGCCCTCTCACACTCGCTCCCTGGACTTTTGTAACGCTACCTGCAATGGCTCTCTTCTGGGCTGGTGCAGTATTTGAGCGGGTGACAAAGAACATCAAGGTGATGCCGGGCTCCGAGTTCAGGGCCGCCGCGCAGGAGGGAATGAAGTACGGCGCTCGCATCGTGCTTGGCGACCGGCCGGTGGAGGTTCGTCAACGTGGCACCACACACACCACACACACACACCCGCCATTGCGCCCTCATTCAGGTCTTCCTCCGAACTCCCGCTAACCAGTGGATGACCTGTGTGCGCCTGTGGATAGATCACCCTGAAGCGCACGTGGGGCAACCTTAGCGTCTGGGAAAAGCTCAAGCTGTTGTACTTTGTACTGATGGACACATCGCTGGACATCAAGGTGCGCACCTCCCTCTTTTCCTCTCTTTCAGGAGCCAGGGTGGGAGATCTCAAGCAGTGGGTGGGACATCCTGGCGTCACTTGTCCCACACACAGGAGGAGGACATCGAACGCATGAAGAACTCGGACGTCATCACAGAGATGGTGAAGGAGCTGTCCACCGAATTCCCATCCCTTGTGGGACCCCTCATCACCGAACGAGATCAGTTCCTGGCATGCAAGCTCCGTTCATGCCCGGGCGACACCATAGTCGCCGTTGTCGGTACGCGTTCCCCCTTTCTCCGCCCAAGGTCTGGACAAAAAACCCCAGCAGCAGCATAACGCTTCGCGCACAGGCATGGGCCATTGTGCCGGCATGGTGGAGTGGTGGGATCGGGACATCGACCTGCGCTCAATTTGCGCGGTGCCTCCGCCTGGCTTCCTGACCATCAGGCGCGTGCTGCTGTCCGTCGTTCTCTCCCTTTTCTCGCTGATCGCCCTACTGGTGTACTATTTCATGTTCTAGCCCTGCGCTCTTGCCTTAGGCAACCCCGTAGCAATTTTATCTTGCTTATCTTTTAATATGGTCCATTTTTGGTTCTTACTTGCGACGGACCCAGGGCAACAGGAAGCTCGGATACTGGTCGTGTTCCCTCCGTGACCCGGGTCTCGGAGTGTTTTATTCTATTCACTTTCCGCGCAAGGGCCTACCCCCACTCACGCAGCGCCACCACATGAACAAAGACAAGGCAATGTGGAAGGGGTATACCCCTCTGGCTGTGATTGAGGAGAAGCTGCGGACGCTCCTTACCCAGCGGGTGGAGGGAGTTCCACTGACCACCTTGGGCACACTGCTCCCCGCCGACTGGCGCAAGCACGCCACCAAGCTCCGGCAACTCTTGAACCTCTTCCCCACGGTGGTCGTGACAGGCAAAGCGGGTTCGGGGCGCGAGATAGCCAAGCTTGTGGCGTGGCTCGTGACGCTCAAGACGGACGTGGCCGCCCTACTCGCCAAGTCGCCCAACAACGCATGCGACCTGGACGCCCTGGTCCAGGCCTACGCGAAGCTGAAGAACAACGCCAACTTGGACACCCTCTGCGAGGTCGCGGGAGTCTACCTCGAGGATCTGCTGGAAGAGCGGGGCTTCTTCCTCACCTGGGCGGGCGAGAAGGCCACCGTGCACTCCAAGACACCCGACGTGGTACGAAGTTCACCTCCGCCAACCTCCCCCGCTACATGGCATTTTCGAACTGGATGGTTGTCCTGTGTACAAAACACACTAATGAGGCACCTGTCCTTTGTCGTGGGGCTCTCAGGGCACGTCTACTGGACAAGTCGCGGCTTCCTCTGCGGCTCCACAGCCAACCTCGGGGGCTGCTGCCGCTGCCCAGCCGACACCCAAGGCGGCAGCTTCCACCATCCAGCCTGCCCCTCCAACTCCGACCACTAAAACCACCGAGAGCCCGGCAACGGCCGCAGCGGTGATCGTGGAAGATGTGCAACGCTGCCGAGAGGTGGTGGAGAGCATACTCGCTCATGACCACCCTCTTGCTCTTGACTGCGAAGGCGTTGACCTGGGCGACAAGAGCGGCTCTCTGTGCCTTGTACAGATCGCCATGAGAAGCGGCCAGTGCTTCCTCTTCGACGTGACCAAGGGCGGAAGCCAGCTCTTCAGCGAGGGCGGACTGCGGCGAGTGCTCAAGGACGTGCACGTGCTCAAGGTGGGACACGACCTGCGGGCCGACGCAAGCGCATTGTTTGCAGAGCACAGCGTCTTACTCAACCACGTCTTCGACACCCAAGGTACATTCGGGCGCGCCAACCTTAGGTTCATTGACGCAAAGATCGATCCACCCACTGCCCACTACTGATAACTTGTGCGGTGCGAGATAGTGGGGCATTCAGTGCTGACGGTGGGCAAGCAAAACCAAGTGGGGCTCAACCCCATGCTCAAGCTCTATGCCAATTCGCAGAACGAGCTCAAGAAGGCTGTCAAGAAGGCGTGGACCAGAGATCGACTGTACTGGACCCGGCGGCCGCTCACCGAGGAGATGGTGGGCTACGCCAGCCTCGACGTGGCTTTCCTCCTCCAGGCTTTCGACTCGATGGCCGCCGCCCTCGAGCAACAATGCCTCTTCGACCACGCCGCTGCTGGCTCGCGGCTCTACATCGACCGCAGGCGCTTTCCCACAGTCGCCGGCACAGGCGCCTCCGCCCCTCGGGGAGAGGAGTGGGAGATAACGAGGGAGTGCCACGTCATCCAGGAAGATGAGAGCATCGAGGAAATCCTCAACGCCCTGCCTGAGCGCCTGCGCGACGCACTTCTCGTCGACAACCGGCTTGGTGGAGATCATGCTCGATCTGGGCCGGCCTCTCAAGGTGCGGTTCTCCGGGGCGGGCATGCCACGCGTAGCCCGGATCAGAGACGTCGACGAGATCAACAAGACCGACCTCGAACACTTCTTGCGCTTCATCACCGACTTCAACTCCGAGAACAGGCACGCAGCCACCACTCACATGCGACCCCCCTACACCGTGACATATTTCCAGGT